GTCTTATATCGTCTTGTTGATTGGACCTGTTGCGGGAGCCGTTGAAGCGAGAATTGCCACTCTCTGCACTTTCACAAATTGTGCGGAGCAAACGTGCCTCTCGCACCCCGTGCGTATGGGCGCACAGACTAAAGTGCACGTGCGATTTTCCTCTAACGTACGCGCGCCCCTTGTGTTTGACTTGCACGTGCGGGAACCTGCGGCTGCGCGCGGGAACCTGTGGCCGCGTGTGCTTTCTGGCATTTTCTAGGGGGTGCGGGGAGGGGGAAGGGCGAGGGGAGGAGGCCCCGAGTCTTGGTACTAAACTTTGTCGACCCTCCGGTTTCGTGCCGTGCAATACGCATGCGGTAGTTTCAGCGTACTCGAAAGGACCTTGTTTGGCCTTGGACGCGCGTTTTGCTGCGAGCGCCTTAAGACGTTTTAGCGTTTTTGCCTTAAACTGGTTGGCAGTGTGTCTGACATTGCCCCAGTCAACTTCCTGCAACGTGAAGCTACTAGAGCCTGTTGCGATGAAGAGAAGAACGGCGAGTTTGAGTTCATGCAAATGCCATCACATTCTTTTCAGTCAAGGAGATCATTCTGATAGCTACTTCAACAAGACCGGAGAGGGCATCTTCAAACAGCAGCTTTATCAGTGCATGTTATCCCAGGCCGAGTGATCTGACAGCGTTACAAAGGCACGGAGACGGCTGAAATCGCAGGCGCTGATCCTGAAGGCGGATATCGAGACCAGGCCGGGCTCCGGGCTCCGCGATGTGTCCGTCTCCGCGTCTCCGTACTCCGTCGCCTCTTCGGCACCTCTTCGGCGCATTTTTCGCTTCAGGCGCTCCGCGAACCAGTTTGGTTGCCTGGTCTGGCAGCTCAATGAGATTTGGCCCACAGGGGGCTGGGGCCCCTCGGCTTTGAGGTTTACAGCCGAGGCGACCAATTGAGGCGGTCTGCCAGAACACTCCTGTCACTGATTTATGGTTTCTGAGGTTCATTGGAGCAGCTCGTCTCGGTGAGAGCTCGTGTTCTGGGCTTTCGGTGGATCCTGGAAATATATGCAAGCTTTGGGGTGGCGAAAACTCGTCTAGGGATTGCGGCACCTTGTCATCTTTGCCGAGTAAAAGCCGTGCAGCCGTGACCTGCAGGTATGGCACGCCAGCGAAGGGCCAAGTGCTCGGGGGACGATGGAAGCCGTTGCACTACTTTTTCAGGCGACGTTTTAGGGATATAAGGATATCTCTGTGTGTGTGTGTACCGTGTAGCGACTTTGAGTCGAGATAAGGCTCGCGTCTTTATCTAGCCTGCCATTAGTTCTCTCGACATGAGAAGCATCATGACCAGAAAGAACCCTAAAAAAGGAGAGCAGGGGCAGTGCAGATCGTGTTGTGAACCTATGACTTGTTTCATCTATGTGAAACGAATCCATTTTGAGCCTGACCGGTCTTGTGCTAGGTCAAACCATAGGGGAGCATAGCCCAGCTTCCAGTGTTTTGCTCACATGATATCGAGACTCTGCCTGCTTTTAGAATGGATTAAAGGGATTTGTGCACGTCTTGGCTTGGCTACAGGCGGTCGGTTTTCTCTGACATCATGGCTACCTGCGGACGGGATGGGCAGTGCCCCTGCTTCAAAACGCCTGGGCTTGTGTCAATGCTCGCTTGTTGCATCATATCAACCGGTTGCTGATGTTGCTCGAAGCTGCAGAAGCGATCCCTCTCTGAACAAGCCCTCATGCAAGGTGCTATGTCAAAAATGACAGCCCGTGGCCGTTTCAGGGCTCCTGGTTCGCATTCAGTACCTCATGCGATTTGGCTTCTGCGACACGTGATCCTAGCTTTGTGTCTACGGCATCAGTTTTTTGGGATGTACAGAGTTCATTCAGCTTGAGTTCGCTACTTAGAGGCTGATTCCCGCAGGATTCCAGAATGTGAGGGGATAATTTGTCAATCTGAGGACGATGCAATGTGATGGCCTTGTGACCTGGCTGCACCTGCGCGGTCCCAGCGCCTGGCTTAGCATGTAGAGCAGCACCTCGTTTGGAGAAGCATTTTTCCGAGTCATAGACCTGTTACTACATGCTCAAGGATGCGGACTTTGTTATCTGCTTTGCCTAATTCATTTCCTGATGTTCCGTCCAACTGGGCACAGACTTTCGAGCCGATTTCGCGCCCTAAAGGCTGTCAGGATAAAAAAGAACGTACCTAGCCAGCCGCATGCGTTTGAGGCGTTTTGCTGATGGGCGCCGGATGCCGCTGCACGGCCTTGACTTGGATCTGATGCAGGGACCTGGAGTCAAAGAACTTTTCAAGGCGATCATCTCTGTGCGAGAGTACCGCCAAGATTATTTTGATGGGAGGGGTAATCAGCACGTGCAAAGTTTTGGCGAGACAGGTGTCGACTCATGCACCTGGTGTCAGGTGGACATCCAAAACATGAGCGGCACCGACTGCATGCTGTTATCAGAGTGCTCGACCAACATCAAGGATGATAGAAGAAGGCGCTTGACTGTATGGAGTATGCAGCGAGCAGCCGGAATTTGGTGGTGTTGCTGCTGCCACTCGACCCAGGCATATTGTCACAGCCTTCGGCGCATCTGCACGGAACGTGGTGCCTCGATTTGACTGACTGACTGACTGACTGAGGGGTCCAGAAAGCATGCAAGACAAAGATCGGGTCGAAACTATTATTATCATTGCCACCGTCATCGTCATCCTCAGCATCCTCCTCCTCATCAGCAGCAGCATCAATCATCGTCTGCATAGTAATCTTCCTCTTCATTAGCCAGCCTCAGCATCGGGATTGTGACGTGTGTTGGTTTCTTTATTTGGATTGTGATGATGTGCAGGGTTCTAGTACTGCGAACGTCGGAAGAGTCTTTGCCAGGTTTCCTTCAACGAGATCCTCATGGTTTCAGCCTTACCTGTCCAGGGGGCCTGCAGAAGCCTGGGCATCGAATTTCCGAAGTCTTGTGGTTTTTCAGCTTCGTGGAGACTGCGCCAAGCAGGTCTGGTCCCGTACAGGGCTCCGGCAGTGCACGGTACATGGTACAATGCTGGTGTAAGGTTAGACATTTGGATGTCTATCTGACGGTTGAACATCTTAGTGGTCTTAGTGCCGACGCTCATGCTCGCTACTGCTCACCTTTCTTCGGTCTTGGCAGTGCCGTTGATTTGAACTCAGGCGAGGCCGGCGGATTTAAGGCTTCCGACAGCGAAGGCCAGCTCCATGGCAAAGCATCGAAACAATATCGAAACTAATGCAATGTCTCGGCAGCAAGCCTCGTCGCCCAGAGTCACGCTGCCAGCCCCCGGTGCTGATGGCCTAAGCCAACTGTAGGTCAAACTGTATACTCCCTTCGTGGAATTTGATGCTGCGGGATGGTCTGAATTTCAGTACCGCGGTGTTGCAGCATTGGCACCCGCTTCTCCTTCGAAGGTCTCTGCGGTTGTGGCAGCATCTCCAAATGATGACGGCAGCATTGACATTGTCCTGACTGCCGTTCCTTGGAGCAGCTGGAGGTCGCAGCAGTTCTAGGCAGCTTACAACTCCGTGGGGTTGGGTCGCCCCGTACATGTTCATGTCAACGCACAGCAACCGCAGATCTTTCTGACATGTCTTATTTGATTTGACAGTGCTGAGGACAAGACCGTGCTGCCGCTTGGCTGGGCCTACAGGCCTAGGCATGCCTAGGTCATCCAGTCCTCTGGCCAGAGCGGATCGCTGAGGTTTCTAACCTTGACGACCCTGGCACATGGCCGATTCAGCGACAATGCTTTTGCCATGTCTCCAGGGATCGGCAAGGCCCCGGGTGACCGCGAAGGCATCTGTGAAACGCCTTCGACCTGTCAGGTGCAGTTCATTCCGTTTGGTGCTCTGGACCGCACGCTCTTGCAGAGCAGTTTGCGTCTTGAGATCCTCGGCATAACACTTGATGAGAAAATAATTTAATCTACTGTAATATGCTTTAAACTTTAAACCACTGTTTCGTGATTTGCATTGCTTCCGTGTGCGTCATTGGTATATCTACTGTAACGTGTTCGTTGCAAAAGTCCAGGCAATCCATGAACGAGTCCGGTAGGGCAAACCAACCTGCCGTGCTAGCATCGAACATGCTCGTTTGTGCAAGCGGTGGCCATCAAGCCCAAGAGGGAAATCCCTGTCGCTGTTGTAAACGTTGTGCCCCAAGGGCCTCGCAGGTTTGTCCAGGACAAGGTCGTTTGCGATTTGGTGTTTCCGCGAATGGTGCAGCATGTGCAGCTGCAGTGAGCCGAAGGGAACGTGGCTTGACCCTGAACTGGCAAGGCATCTCCAGCCGTACCAATCGTGGCAAAGCGGTGAGCGCATCTACGTCTAAGAGCTTGCATTATAGGTTCGGTGATGGGTGTAGGCGGGTTCAGATTTCAGACTTTGAAAAGTAGTTGAAAAGGGTTTCCCTCCAGCATCGAAGATAAACAATGAGCTCGCTACACAGTGCGGTCTGTCACATTCTGTCACCCCGTACGACAACACGAGGCTTGCTGGGTTTCATCTTGGGACGTACAGCACATGCAGACCTTGGAGAGCAAAAGCTGGCACTTGATTGGAGCATGATCGAAGTCTTCATCTCGAGGTTGTGACGCATGCCTGCAGCTTCCGTTTCGACTCCGCTAGTTAAGATATCCAATGCAATACCTCGATCATTTGCTTGGGCGCGCAGCAAGCAGCGATGCCTTCAAAGCAAAATCGTAGCTTGACAGCTGTTCTGTGGTCCTCATGGGAAGCGGCATTCAGGCTGGCTCTCTCTTTTTTCGCATGTGTTATACTCCCACTTCACGTCAACAGGTCTTGCCGACAACAAGGTCTGCTTACTATGCCTTCATCAGACACTTTTCAGCTCGACATTAGGAATTTCACCAGCATACCGCAACACAGCTCTTGTACACAGGCCTCGAACGCCTTTCTCCCACGCCCGTCCTCCCTCAACCCAGCCACACTCCTCCTGCGGTTCGCAACATTCGACTGCTCCATGGCTGATGGCGGGTCGCGCGGGTGCCGTCCTCGGCGCTCGCCGCCGCGGTGCCGGCGCTGGCTACGGGAGGGGTCGCGCTTTGGCAGCCTATGTTCTTTTTGCAAGTGGTGGTGTGGTCGCTCTAACCGGGATAAGATGGGTGGAAGATTATATGGAAGTCCACACCACGCCTGTTGTGGGTGATGCCAGTGCATCGTCCGGTTGTGATGGAGACTGACGCAAAGGATCCTGGAAACGGTGGAGGTGGCAATGCTGCTGCAGTCGGGGCGGGGGGGCGGGCCGTGAGGACGCGGGGTGGGGTGGTGTGAGCACTGGAGGGTGTGTGTGTGTGTGTGTGCGTTGCTTGAACCCTACAAAACTCGTAGCAGTGAAATGTGGAGGTTGGGATGGAAGCACGGTGGGATCGGTATAGGGGCGGTGAGGGCGCTAGAAGCGCGGCTGCTTAGCTGAAGTCGATGCGCCATGGAAACGGTGGAGGCGATGCTGTGGGCAGAGTTCCTTGCACCCTGGGCACCGTGGAGATAGTGGAAACGGCACCACGACGGGACAGTGAAGACATCGACACGACTGCAAGTGCCAGCGGTGCCAAGCGCGGTGATTGTGGGCGGTTTGGGATGTTGCATAAGCATAGGCTGACTGACTGACTGCCTGGCTGGCTGACTGACTGACTGAATAAAAAGCAGGGGTTGCAAGCAGAGCCTGAGTTTGCGTGACCAGGTGTTGCCAGGCCACCTCTGCATTTGGCACAACAGCGTGCCTGGCCTCAAGTGGCAGTGTAGTGTCCAGTTTTGGGGCCAAGCAATGGGTTTTCGAGCTTATTGTCCATCAGTTCAAACAGATTTGTTGATCGCCATCACTGAGGTTCATTATCCCCAGATCGCCAGAGCTTCCAGCCCCTGGCGCCGGTTGCTGTTGCCGGCTTTCTGGAGGAAGTCTGCGGACCATGCAGTAAGTGCAGCTTTCTCTGCCACACTGTGCCAAATCAGCCTTCGAAGTGAAGCGAGATGTGGCAATCAATCTTGAGAAGACTACATATACCATATACGCTTGAGCAGCAAGCCGAGAGCGGAGCTGGTCCCATACTACCAACTCTCGAAGCCACCAAACGAAGCACCGGCAGCGTCGTCAAAGTCGCAGCTGACTGTGTCGTCCACGAACATCTTTCGCCTCTCTTGTCAGGGCTACGGCTACGAGGCACGGGCAGACCTAGCCGCTGAGCGTCAGTTGGATCTGGAGTGGTTCTGGGGTTTGTGCGCTTGATCATGGGATCTGTAGCAGCTGCATTGTCAGCTGCATGTCTGGAGATGCGGTCCTGGCTGCCATCGTGCAGACCTGCATGGCGTGAACTTGGGACTACTGCTTGATATTCCCTTTGTCGTCTAGGCTCGCTGGCAGTTGTGGTTGCCCGAGTCTCCCCTCTGAAAGTGGGGCCTTCGGATGAGTTGTTTTGCATGCTTGGCCTTTTCCAAGGATGTCTGGGCTCAGCGACCAGGCAGTGCAACGGCGCCAGTGATGGTGCCTCGGCGGCTATTCCCGTGTAGTGTGGTAGGATTTGCGCGCGTAGACCACATCCCAGGCATTCGAGGTTGCTGGGCACGAGGAACGCGGAGGCTGTGATGTCGCGTTGTTGCTGTTTGTAATTTAGTTGAGTACAGTCAAAGTTTGGTTGGGTAAGCGCGCTCTGGTTCGTCAAGAGACACAGATGCAAACTGTCAACTTCAGCCGGGTCGCAGATCAAAAGCCTTCGTTCTTGTACTGACTCCAGTTGTGGGCGCAGGTCATACTTGGTATCAAATGAAATGCTCCCTCATGGCCGCTTCCTGAGCTGTAGGCCGGACACCCGGCAAGGCCCGACAAGGCATGGCAAGGTCAATGCCGAGGGCACTCGAATGGTTTTGAGGAATTTGACAGAGCTTGTCTCAAAGCGATACAAGAACACGCTGCCTTCACGCTTCAGTGACCTTCGTTCATCGTGTCAAGGCTCCTCGCTCGGTGCCTGCGCTGCGCTGGAAGGTGGAACGACGCCTGCTTCTCGTCATGGCGAGCCCTCCCTAGATCTTCGCTTTTCACGAAGATCGCGCCTGTCCAACCCGCGAGACATTCCTGCTGGCAGCTTTTCATGGTAGAAAGCCCAGGTCAAGCCTGCGCGAGGAATTGCACGAAACCTGGCCCAACCTTGGAGCTGTGCACTTCTCAGGTGCTGTTTGTCGTGCTCAGGATAGGATCAAGGATGGCTTGGGATCCAGCTATGCCACTTACTTCGGCAAGACACCTTTCGCGCTGAAAGGCATGCCGCTAAAGAGCCGGTCTGACGTTTTGTCCAAAGCTTCCATGTAAATGCAGCATATGCTGTAGTGAGTGACCAGTCTAGCCTTCTGAAGCCGAAATTTCTCGATCTCCGAGCTACCAGTACCTGAGGCCGTCGTCCAAGTTTTGAGTCCTACAAGCAGTGTCCTTTGGATGTGTTAAAGCTAAGCCAGGCTTTCGCAGAAGCTATCCAAATCAGCTATGCCTAGTGGGTTTCCACAGAAAAGTAAGACGCTTTGTGCTTGCAGGGGGTCTGCCGGGCACAACTGCACGGCTCAATCTTTGGTTCCTCGGTCGAGAAGAGTCGGGCCCGAGTTTTCAGTGCTAAGGACATGTGTTGGGGTGAAGGCAATGCACGTGAGGTATCCTTACTGGTCTGCCTGGTGAACGCACAAGACCCGAAGGTTTGGATCCCTGGCGGAAGTTGTAAATCGCGGAGATGCGCAGCCCTCTGTGGTCGCGCTTCTGCTCCTCTTCCTGGAGGCAAGGCTTGCATCATTTTTGCACTGTAGCACTACTTCGTGCTGGCCTGAAGGCCCCAGAGCCGGGGGAGCCGACTGGCTCGGAGCCTCAAGAGGCGAAGTGTGCACAAAAGTCCTGAGCAAAGGGTTTCTCTTGCAGGCAGCCAAAAACTGCAGAGTTGATTCGAGGCGAACATGTTTCCACAAGCCTCTGGAATGGTTTTTGGGGGAGAGGCGTCTTTTTTCTGAGTGTTCGCTCCCTTGCGGAGGCTGAGGCACCCCGCGCCGCCGCCCTGGCCGCCCCAGCCCGCAGCTCGCCCGAGAGGGCCTCCCTCGGGGCCTCTGCAGCAGAGGCGCCTTCTTCGGGCGACGGGATGGCGCCTTCTTTCCAGGAGGAGGACGTCTTCTCCCCACTGCTCTCCACAGCCGCATGCACCTGTTCTTCCCCCTGAGGACCCTCCAAGCGGCCTGAGTCCACAAAAGAGTGCGGGAGCTCGCACGGCCGGCCCAGAGGTCAATGAGGAGATCGCTGAGATCGAGATCAGCTTGGAAGACGAGACGATTTAAAAAGTCTGTCGGTTGGCCACAGATTTGTACCTGCATGTACATAGCTTGCAAGGGAAGGGGAATGCAGGCAGAAGAGTTGGCATCAGCTGGCATTGTGAGCATCAGTTGGGACTTGAAACCAGGATTACCGTTGGCATATGTTGGCATTCCACGAGGTTCAGCGGCGGTAAACAAGGTGTATCACGCTTCAATAGCTCTCAAGTGGGCAAGGCAGTGAGGCAGCTTCGAGCGACAATCGCCGATCCAAGGGAAGACTGAACGGTCTCTGTTTAGACAGATGCCGGTCGTGTATGCCAACAGCCAGCGGCACGCGAGCACTGTACCAGCACTTGAACCGACACCTGCAACTATTCCATGAGGCGATAGCACTCGTCTGCAGACAATGCAAGCGTGGGGTTAATGGGTTTTCCTACGCCCGACAGGTTGCACGATGGGTATTGGCCACTCATACTAGACCTATGCTGATGACGGGCCTGTGGGGTGCATCCACAAGCCTATCTGTGATTGCCCTGATAGTTCCGGTTGAGATGTGGGCTCGAAACAGAAAGCATTTCCTGGAAGCCTCACGCTGGTTCGAGCCCTGCACCTTACAGGCCTAGATAGAACTCGCCAGCCAGCCACTTTGGACAAGTTTGCCACGTAGCGCATGCGATAGTCGGCATGGCACAGCCTGCGGCCAGGTTGCAGTCAAGTTCCAAGATTCAAGGTTGCCGTCGTAGACCTCATGCCAAGTCGACGGTTCACCCTACAAGGTTGGTGGTTACAGAGCAATTCCAACCATAGCTCCTGCTGATGCACATGGCTCCCATACCGTCCTACATCCACTCAGATTCATTTGTTGCACCTCAAGCACCCATGGGGCCCAGGGTCTGTTGCGAAAGACATCGCAGTAACCGTAATAAATGGTCAGGCGGCTGGTATGGTCTGGTGTGGTCAGGGATGGCGGGGGGGAAGGGGCTGGCGTGTGCCGAGAGGGATGGTGGCCGTTTGGGTGGGGTGCTGCTGGGGGTCACAGAGAGGGCCGGGATCTTCCGCAAACCCTGCACAAGCCATAAACCCTATAACGTAGGGCGTGTTCCTGTTTCTATTAACATTAACCTGTCCTGAATACGTTAAACCTTACACCCAACCCTAAACCCCGCCTAAANNCAGGCTCTAAGCTTGAAGCAGAACATGACCCTAACCAACCTACACCCCAAACCCTCTCTAAGCTCGTGTCGACTCGGCATGGACTGGACGATTCTGCAAAGGAGCGACCAGAGCGACTGCCGGGCCCTGGCCACAGCCGCCTTTCGCGGCTCCCGGAGCTGCTCCCGCCGCGGTTCAGCGAAGCGCAACGTGTGCTCTACGTGACCCCGGCGGAAGTCGTGACTCCTCCCTCCCTTCGATTTCGAGTGTGTGGCAGGATCGCATCCTTTCCGGAGCCAAAGATGCTTCCGGCAAGCCGCGGGCCGAGATCAGACGAGAGCGGAGAGTCTTCGAGATGCCGCCTTTCCGAGGCCGCTGAAGACGCGAGTCAACGAGGAGCCATGGCCAAGGGGTCCCGTGTCGCATCGCGGCCGCTCGGCCTGTGTGTCCTTACTGCTCAGGAAACAGGTGGCCTGCTGGGGCCCTTCAACTCCTTCCTTCGCCAGAGGCTCTGGTGCAGGAACGTGGACATTGGAAAAACTCAGCACTGCTATCTCATCACTTAGCTCGAAATTCGTCACGACCCCCTTCGCACGTTTGGCCTCAGATCGAGGGTCTCCCGAGCTCGGCGGACAATTGGCCACGCTTGCTGAGACGATGCTCGGCTGTGTGGAATTGGCTGCTGTGTCACACATGTGTTGGTCTCTGTATCAGCTGCCAGTAGCCTTCGGCTCGCTAATCTTTCGTTGAAGCTTTCGCCTTCGTGCGGGACGGCCCCTCGAGAACGCCACCCGAACAGCAGAGCGTTCGTTCTCCACAGCCCTAAAGCCGGTTCCAACCTGTTGGTTGTACCGCTGCATAACGGCTCCACGTGCAGGACATTGCACACCAGCTACTACTCGAATTTTCAAGACGCCGGAGATGTCGGTTTGACTCGATCGAATATTTTCCAATCCTCGCCACCCACACGTCGACCGCTTGTCATGCCCGTTGATGGTTGCATGTTTTGCAAGCAAAAACCGAATAGAGTGGGGCGAACTTCCAAGCCAAAAGCCAGGCAGGATTGGAGCATTTGACAGTACACAGGCCGTCGAGACTGAGCCTTAGTGAGAACACGTTTCGAACGAGGTGCTTGGAGCGCCAGAAGCGGGTCTAGACGGTAGTCGGAATCCTGGGAAGTGGTGTGAGACCAGACAGTCGATGTTTTTAACCTGGGAAACTGAGGCTCCGATTCGGAGATCTTCAAGCGAACCAGCGGCTGCTCGAGCAGCTTGGATGCATCCTTGTTGGCTTTTCGTAGAGTGGGGTTGCCGAAGTCCGAGCGGTCGCTGGCCTTGCCTAAATCTGCCATTGCCATCCTTGATGCACGGAGCGTTGCTTTAGCTTTGGCTCATCATGAATCGAGTTGGTCAGTTGATCCGCATGTTGCCTGCATCCTGAGCTAGGTGCAGATCGATTTCAGTGACAAACAGGGACAGTGATGTAGAAGCCGATGCCATGCCGAACACTACGGAAGCCCCATCCATCGCCGCGGCCGTGTCCTTCGGCGCCATCCTTGACGTGAAAGACAAGCACAGCCTTTATGCACCACGGAAATATCTTGAGCATCGCAGTTCAAAGCTGCAGGCTGCAGTTTTACAGGCTTATTGATCCTTGGTTAAGTGTTTGTTTTCCGGCTGTCTACTGCAAGTGTTCGTCTTAACCCAGGCAGCTTCAAATCTGGGTGACCATGTGCAGAGTGTCAGGCGTTGAGTAGACCAGAAAGCCTCGGCTGCAGCCGACAGATGCATCTGACTCTCCTTGTAAGGTAAGCAACCTCAGCGTCACTGTTGCCTGGATGATTTTATCGTGCCGACTTCGTGCACATACCCACCCTCTTTCAAGGCAAAAGTTGTCGGATCCTGTTGTCGAGCACGCCAACGCGCCCACGCACCCACGCGCCCACGCGCCCACGCACCCACGCACCCACGCACCCACGCACCCACGCACCCACGCCCACGCCCACGCACGCCCACGCCCACGCCCTGTCGGAGCCTGTCCCACCAGGCCTTGCCCCGATCTGCCCCTAAACTCTATTTCGGCTGAAGACCCCAGAGCTCACGCTGTTGGCTGGGGAAAAAGGAAAACCGCTGAACCTAACATGGCCAATCCTGGGAAATGAAAACAACAAACAAGAGAGAACACATGCTCAAGTATCTCCATGTACACGTGTGACACACACACACATTCTATATGTGTTTTACATATTTATTTATCTATATGGTGCTTTCTTTGCTTACTTAGTGTGTTCTTGATTATTTCTTTGTGTATTGCTGTCTTTCTTAACTTCACTCGTTCCTTCTTTGTTCTTTCACTCTCACTGTCACACACACACACACACACACACTCACACACTCACACTCTCTCACTCTCTCACTCTCTCCCTCTCTCACTCTCTCACTCTCTCACTCTCTCCCTCTCTCACTCTCGCTCCCTCTCTCCTCCCTCTCCCCCTCTCCCCCCCTTCCCCTCTCTCGCCCATTCTCTCCCTTTCCCACTCCCTCTCCGCTCTCCTCTCCTCCCAAAGCCCGAACAAACACACTGCCAGTTAGAAGGTTCATGTGCCGTACCAAGCCCCTAGAACGCAGATTGATAAATCTGCAGTTCAGTCGCTACAAACATTGCTCCCAGCTTCAAAGCCCTGCAGCTTTCCCCCGAAACCAGGTGACCGAAGACTCGCTGCGCGAGATCTTCCGGCATTGTGGGCCCTTGGACCAGGCAAGTTGAGCGGACGATTAGGGGAACGTTCTTGATCTTTGTACAAGAACTCCGAGCAGCGTTGTAGTGGTGCCATTGCATCGACATCCCATGTGTTTGCCACGGCCGCTGCAAGGTGATCTTCCGTACCTATCCTGGTTCCTTGACACTTGGACTGCCCAGGATTTTGGGTTTCTGATTTTGCAGATGCTTGCTTAGAATTCTGGGGGCGTGTTCATCCGCCTTGGAGAACAAGTCGACACTTGAAGCTGAAGATTGCGCCTTGAGGAAGTGGTATGCGCAGCTTAACTTCCAAACGGCAGATGGCGTCGTGCAGGCGAGTAAAATGGAAGGCACATGCTCTCTGCCACAGTGTGTAATGACCATGGGGGCGACGAAGCATCGTTCTGCTAGCGCCCTGTTCCACACTTCCGGGTTTGGGATGGACGCAGCTGCTGAATGGAGAGCAGGGCAGAGAGTTATATGAGGCACATATTTCCGTAGGCTGTCACGTAGGCTGTCATATTCGCCTCCGAACCACACCAGCTTCGTTGCACAGGGACCCCGATCTGCGGCACTGGGATCCGCTGCTCTGATGCTGGGCTGACATTAACACAAGCTCGGGGCCGGGGCTCTTAAGAAAGTGCGAGCTGTGAGTTAGCAGAACCCTTGCCCATTT